GTATCTGCATCTGCATCTGCATCGTCTACTAACCATCTGCACGATTTTGATTTCAATCCAATCTCAGTTTCGTCGATTCTTCTCTCTCTCTCGATCTCTGCCTGTCTCTGTCTCCCTCTCTCTCGATCTCGTTCTCTCTCGCACAGTCTCGTTCTCTGTGTATACATTATCTGTACTTTTTTTTGGATAATTTTTTTGTCCTAAAAAACTCTCTATACAAGTATATATATGAATTTTTATATGTATCTCTATGTATTAATTGAATAATCATCCTTATTTTGTTTTCAGGCTCTCGAATGATCCAATCGTTGATCGGCAGTGACGGAAAAAATCAACTCCTGTGAGAAAAGAAACCCTAACTTTCTCATTGGAGGTAAGTTCTAATATATTTGTTTACATGTTTGTTCTGTTTTTGATCTTGTTTAGATTTGTATTGAACAACTCTATTTAGATTTGTTTACTCAATACACTGATGAGAATCTACTTGAATTTGGTTTCTCTTACTTTTCTGGAGCTATATTCTTTTGTCTATAATGCTTCTAAATATGAGGATACATTGGTTTATGTCAATTTCTATGTATCAAAATATATTTTGGTTTATTTAGATGATAAACATTAATTGGAGAACTCAGTAGTGATTAGCAGTCTGTCTATTGGTTAATTTGGGTATTGACTTAAATTTGATTTTTTTTTTTTTTTTTTTTTTTTTTTCCCTCATTCAATTCCATTACTAATAAGGGTTCTTTGTTGTTCCAGCAATTAACGCTATTCTTGGATGCTGGTCACAATCTTCCATTCCCCGATGGCCTTCTCATCAATGGGCGAGGATGGAACGGGTACACATTCACTATCGATCAAGGTGTGTTTATCAATGATATGTTCCCCAATTCATAATTTTTCTCAACATCACCTTCATTGACCATGTTTGTGACCTCATTATCCCAATAATTTTTGTTTGCAGGTAAGACATACAGGTTCAGGATATCAAATGTGGGCCTTGCGACATCCATTAACTTTAGAATACAAGGGCACACAATGAAATTAGTAGAGGTAGAAGGATCGCATACACTCCAGAATGCTTACTCTTCCCTCGACATCCATTTGGGTCAATCCCTTTCTGTCTTGATCACTGCTGATCAGCCTCCAAAGGATTACTACATTGTCGTTTCTTCGCGCTTCACCTCTCGAATACTCACAACCACAGCCATTCTCCACTACAGTAACTCATTTACCCGTGTTTTTGGTCCTCCTCCTGGAGGGCCTACCACTCAGATTGATTGGTCCCTCAACCAGGCCAGATCTATAAGGTGATCCAAATCAACCCAAGACTCCAATGTTTTTCATGTCTAGAATTTTTGTATGATCCTAATATGGTATATCAAATTTTTGAATTTTTGCATACTAGAAGACCTGTTGGAACTAGCTGTCCAAATTAACACATAATACAGTTTATCATAAGATAAACATCCTTGAAAAACTTGTCTAGATTACTAGTATGCACACACAACTGATCAGGCTTGTTGCTAGAACATGGATTGCACGCTAAAAGCCTAGCTAGGTGACCTCTGGAATTTGTGTGGAGAAAAATCTACCACATTGGATGATCGGATAACGACGATCGGAATCAACGCCAGAACACTCTCTCTAAACTTGCAACCACAAACAATGAGTCCTTACTGGCTATGGTGTGCAGCTAAGGGAATCCTGATGCTTAAGTCAATAATTACAAGTGAACTCTCAAATATGGTGATGGTATAATTGCTCAGAATTGCATACCTCTTCCCCAAGGCTAAGTGTTGCTTTTATACTACTTAAACTGACCTTTCAGAATATTATATAACTACCTCCCATGCTGCTCTACCCTAAGCGGGATTGTCCCTTGTCCAATGATTTTCTCTGAATGATGTGTTTGGTTGGGAGATTTAGAAGAGATTTGGAAATGAAAAGAAAAAGGTATGTAAAATTATGTGAAATGTAAGTGTATTTTATTTACATTTCACCTACATTTTTCTTTTCCTTTTCTAAATCCCTTTCCAAATCTCCTAACCAAACACAACGTAACCGATGAGCATAATCTCACTTTTTTGTGTACTTATTCTTGACTTGTTCCACCCCTTGCTCGGGCTTGGCCATCCAATCTACATGGTTGACCAGACACACTGTTTGTGCAATTGGCTATTTGTCCTGATTGGCTGCCGCCCAACTTACTTGGCCGAGTAGTGTGGTTGAGTGAAATGACCTGCAATCGAATCAATTAATATTGTAAATTTTTTTTATGCAATTTCTTGTTCTTGTGACAGTGCCAATTGCTTCAACATCTGTTATTTCATGCTCTCTAAATCCAGGTGGAATCTCACTGCAAGTGGACCGCGTCCGAACCCACAAGGCTCATACCATTATGGAATGATACAAACTTCCCGGACCATCATGCTTGCAAACTCTGCACCTTTTATCAATGGCAAGCAGAGGTATGCTGTGAATGGTGTCTCATTCTTCCGTCCTGACACTCCGTTGAAACTCGCTGACTACTTCAATATTGGGGGAGTCTTCAATCTGGGAAGCATCCCTGACAGCCCCAACTGGGGAAACGGCTACCTTGCCACGTCTGTCATGGCTGCTAATTTCCGTGCTTTTGTTGAGATTGTGTTCCAAAACTGGGAGGACACCGTACAGTCTTGGCACATTGATGGCTATTCCTTCTTTGTTGTTGGGTAAGCTTTATTTGGCTATGAAATGCAAGTAATAATATGTTTTCTTGAAATTTGAAATCTATTGACAAGTAGTTGAATTGGGCAGGATGGATGGGGGGCAGTGGACGCCAGCAAGCAGATCACGCTACAATTTGAGAGACACAGTTGCCCGTTGCACGACTCAAGTATGTGGGTTTAAAATTTGTCATCTTCTTTGAAATGTAATACAATGCTTGTATGATCAATGGCTCGATGTGTTTGATTTTGGTGCAGGTTTATCCCAAGTCATGGACTGCAATCTACATTGCACTGGACAATGTGGGAATGTGGAACATTAGGTCCGAGAACTGGGCAAGGCAATACTTGGGCCAACAATTCTATCTGAGGGTATACTCCCCTGCAAATTCATGGAGAGATGAATATCCTATCCCAAAGAATGCTCTTCTTTGTGGTCGAGCATCCGGTCGCCACACCCGACCTCTTTTATCCCAATAAGAGGGCATAATTTCTGTCACGAGAGGGTGACCGGGATTTGTTGGGTTCAGACAGAGGGTTCTCTGCGGGAACAGGTTTAATGCTCAACTCGAGCAACTGAGTCATTAATTTCTTCATTCCTCATTCCTCATTCAATTTTTTTTTTTCTTTCCCTTCTTATATCGTCATTTATTTTGTAAAACCTAGTCTAGTTTCAGAATCCGATGTGACTACTTGATCCTTATTTACCACGAAGAAATTGAATTAGTTGTTGCTACTTGTGTAGTGTTCTTGGCAATCTGTCGTCTTGAAAGGCATTGATCTTCTGAATCAATGTGGTTAGTCATGAAAACTCTGCTCATTCCAATAATAGAGTTGAAGGTTCTAACCAGAATGGTGTAATTTGGTGTTCTATCATATGCTGTAAATTGTGCTTTTTGTTCCTATATACCTCTTCGGGATGTAATTTGCTTTTTGTTTTGCTAGTTTAGTTCGGCCTTTTGGCTTGTTGGAGCATATCTCCAAATGGTTTATAATAACTAAATGATTAGCTATTGCTATATTTTAGCAATGAATAGTGTTAAAATATTATATTTGAACAAGGTTGCTCCAATGGTGACTTTGTTATTTCTTTTATTTTCATCTCACGATGTCAAATAGATATATGCTATATGTGAGTCTCATTAGAAGAGATGTACAAACAAACTAACTTGTCGAATTCTCGCCATAGCTATACCTTGTGACAATCCTTTTAGCATATGCTAAATATAAAAGAAAAAACATCATTTGAAACCTATTTTTCAATAAAACGCTTAATTCATTTCGAATCTGGCCTACGTTACCCTAACTTTGCATCTACACTGCACAAATCATTTTCTCAATATTTTTTGGACTATTGTTTCGAGCACTCCCTAATTTTTTTCCATTTTAATGGAATTATTCATTTAAGAAAGCAGAAGATCATTGTTATCTTGGTTCCCTGTAAATATACCATTTGATGGGAATAGTTGGATACTGCTCGACAATTTGAATAGACAATAAGTAGTAAATAGCATCTGATGCCACCCAATAAGTCATACAACATTGATACAAACTTATTTTAAGTACTTGTTAAAGACTTACATAACCATGCAAATAAGGAAAGAAGATTGGATTGGCAAACATGAGGACCCTCAAACCTTCTAAAGACAGTTAATTCTACGTAGTAACCTAGTACCACCATTGGTTTGAAAGGCATTTCTTGCAAACTCAAGGCTGTCCAGCACCTCCACCACCAAGTACATTACCACTACTGCCTTCTTTTCCACCACCACCAATCCCTCCCACAAGCCCATTTCCAATTCCATCACCACCACCAAGCCATCCAACGCCACCACCAAAAGCAGCTCCCCCACTGCCCAAGCCAGCACCAGGACCATGGCCAAACCCACCACCACCACCACCAATCCCACCGCCAAATCGTGGGATGTGGTGGTGGTGAAAGAATGTCTTCTCCATATCAGGTTCAGCACCCTTCTCTATCACAAGCCTCCTAGCATTGGACATGCAACAAGTAACTGCACCAAGCAGCACCAGAAGAAGAAACTTAGTTGCCATGTTTAGCGTTTGGAAGGAATCAAAATGATGAGAAAAAGGGCTTGCAAAGAAGAGAATATATACAACTTTTTTTGAACAAGTGATAGGAGCTAAGAGCTAGTTTGGAAGGTTTTAAGTACACTATAGTTCACTCTCTAATCATTCATAATCCGTGTTTTAGACGATTATTATGTAGATGTAGAGTGAAGTCACCCTGTTTCTATTCAATATGCCACCACCCCATTTTGATGATCTACCTACTCAATAAATACAGATAGACTTGCAGCAAGCCATGAACAGTTTTTTTGCTTTCTTATTAGGGTTCCAGCTCTGTTAAAAAATAAATAAATTATGACAAGGAACTCCCCAATGCAGGCCCTTCGGCCCCATCCCTGCAGCAGAGTATATAAACATGTTTTACATAAATTTTTCCCAATGTGTCAATATATATAAACATGTCTTCACATATAACTGGACTCCTTCAAGACCGTCACTCTGAGCGTCCTCTGCTCATAGCCTGAGTGGAATGAAAATGAAAGAGTGATCATTCCTTAATTTGCCTCCATAAAATGATCATTTCATTTCAATGGTAAATAATACATTTTCTATCAATTTCATTTTTATTATTATTTTTTTTCATTTTAATGGTAAATAATGATTCATTTCTAATACATTTTCGGAAATTGTTTGGGTGTGTAAGGTGCATATCATATGCACTTTCATAAGTTCTCACAAATATACATAAATTATTTTACAAAATCACATAAGTTCTCACAAATATACGTAAGTTACCTTACAAAATCGCGTAAATTTTTACAAATATACGTAAGTTAACTCATAAAAAATTGAGAAAATCTCACAAAATCGCATAACTTTCCACAAACATATGCAAGTTAACTCATAAAAAATAGAAAAAATCACAATTTACATATATTTATAAAAACTTACGCAAATTCAATGATATGCATTTGCACACTTAAAAATTACCGTACATTTTCTATCAATTTTCTAAAATAACCAAACGTGGAAATGAATATTCTAATAGAGTGATTATTCTCTCCATAATTCTAGTGAACTCAAAAACTACCTTAGGATCTCAAATTCTTCATTGGGTGTCTGTTGCATTTACTCTTCTTTACCATTTAATTCTGAGGTTATGTTTGGATAATGGATTTAAAGTAGAAATTTAGAAAGAAAAAGAAAAAAATGAGAGAAATGTAAATGAAAGATCAACTAATTTTTTTTTCTCAACTTCCCTCACTTTTTATTTTCCCTTTATCCAAATCCTTACCCAAATCTATGATCAAAACACAACCTAAGTTGGCCATATCCACACTTATAAAAGAAAGTACATATGCTGAGAGCAACCAAACATTAAAATTTGAAACTGGAAACAAAACTAGAGCTCATTTTTCCACAGATTCCATATACAAACATAATACTCCATTACATACAGGTTCATTAGGAAATTTTAAATGAAAAATTCACTTTGCTGAGTGGTAAAATACAGTAATTACAATTTTCCTAATGGAAACACAATACTAAAGAATGTTTTTCACGTTCAACCATTAGGCCATGAACCACTATGCTACTACACTCTTGGCCACTGCGGACTCACGACCTGCACAGCTCAATAACAAATCAACTGATCAATGTGGGCACATGAGGACACTTTTTTGAAACAGGATCTTCAATTTCAACTCTCAATGATAGTAGTCACAAATATAATTATTAGAACGCAGAAATCTATAAATATATATATTGCAAAAATTCGAAAGGAAAAATGGATAGCAAGGAAAATTGACCTTCAATTCATCATATATCTTCTCTTGAGGTAGAAAAATACAACTAACCTCTAATGTGCTAAACACTAATCTCATTCGGCTGGCAACAACTGACGGCTCCTCTGCCTGGCCCACCACCGCCATTTGCTCCAGTTGAAGAGTCTTAACTGGAAGCCTTGAGCAAATAATACAAGAAATCATAACGTTAACTGCTTATAATTTCGACTTTCTTGAATGCTGATTAAGAACAAAGATTGAAGCAAGTTGACGTAATAGGAGAGGTGAAGAAAGTCGTTTGGGGCATAAATAAATGACAACAATGTAAGAATGATAAAAGTTGTAGACAAAATCAGAATTTAGCATCTACACATGAAAACATCTTTCATATTACCTGATCTAAAAGAAAACCAAGATGCAAGTTGAATGATATACCGATAATTTGATTCACATGAGGAACAAAACTACACAATGAGGGGGGATCAAATGAAAAAAACCGACCCTTAGACGATATAGCCTATAATTGGTTGGATACCAGATTGATTGGATGTAAAAACAATACAGAGAAGAAAATGCAAGAAAATGAAACATGGTGACAGCAGCTCACCATGCCATGCCTCTCACATAGTATGCATTTGCTATGATAGCACAAAAGCCTTTCCACTGATGCAGTATTTCGTCTGACACCGGAGGCGTTGATGACCATCGAACTATGGTTGGCTGTGGTGTACACAGGATGGTAATAAATAGAATGCTCAACCACAGAATACACTCGTCAATCTGCATCATGAAATAGGAAGTATTGGGTTTTCAATTCTTAATCCATCCAGCAGATTTAAAGACTAAGTAGAATTCTTGTAAATTTCTGTTCATTGGAGGAAAAAAAAATCAATTAAGAATTAACTCTGCTGATCTTATTGGAGGGGGAAAAAAAAAACACAGAAACGAAAGAAAGAAAGAAAACCAATTTTCAAGTAAGAATAAGTCCACTGACCAAGAAATGAACACCGATCAGTACTCCAACAGCAGCTTGCTACTTGTTAAGCCACTATAAGTTCAATTATTTGGTTAGATCCTATGGTTTTGTTTTTTCTTTTTCTTTTTAAATGGTATGGTTAGATATCTTAAATCAACATGACTGATAAAATTGATCATCCCCAAAGAACCATTATTTTACAACCATTGCCAATCTCATGCAGTTCTGTCAGTTTGTCTCTTTGTCCTGATTTACGAAATATCCCTCAGACAAGATTATAAACAAAATGGGTCCTCGACTCATTCAATTGATCAACCTAAACCATATTAAATCCTTCAGTTCCTATGGAGTTTAAAAGTATAATCTTATTGATAGCCATCTGAAATCACTATCCAACCAACTCAAAGATGCACTTTCAGAATCATATAACTGATGCAAAACACAATGAAGCCATTTCTATATCATGCATTCAAGTGATATTGTGCTTTGTAGAAGTGACATCACTGCATTCCACATCCACCTAAAGATCATAGAAAGCTAACATAACAGGTCAACCTGCACTAGTAATTATATAGCCCTACCACTTTAGAATGACATACATTTCAAGACCAGGATTTTACAATGGGTTTCTGGCAACATCAAATATCAGCACTCGGCAGGAGAAAAAAAAAATAGAAATAAATAAATAAATAAATGGGTAAGACACATGTCATGAGAGAGAAAGTGGAGCTCAAGAGAGAACTGTGGTTTTAACATAATAAAAGTATACATTTGAGAAGAAAAAGGACTTGCATCAAGTGCTCAGGATGTCACCATGCTATAGATTATTTAATAAGGTACAAGATGAGCAAAATAGGAACAACATACCTCCTCTGAGAAAATCTTGGACTTTAGACTAGTGTTTCCCCCATAATTTTGCATTGCTTCAATTTCAAATCCAGATTCTTTCATATCAATAAGTTCTTTCCTTAGTCCTTCATCAGTGCACCCCAATGCATATGCATTTACCCCAGCGCTGATGAACTCCTGATACTCATTTTTGAAACATGTTAGTTGAAGAAAACAACAATGTGACCTCACACAAAAAGATCAAATGAACTAATGAGTATACTTTTAAGTTGTCACCTCCTCCCCGCTCAATGAAGTTCCTGTATCGCCTAAACAAACTGATTGCTATATTGCGTGATGAACGATACTCATCATCTGACGACATAGATTCACTAAATCGACACTGCAAACAATTACAAAACAAAACACTGACTAGAAACAAAAAAAAAAAAAATATGAAGAGAAATAAAGCATGATTATTCACTCTAGAGATTTCAACACTTACCAGCCATTTCTTAGAAGCTGTTGGGTGTGAGATGTGATGGATCTTAAGTCTAGTGCAGCTTTTGGAAGAGAAAGAGGAACTCTGCAGTGCTGCATTACCGGGACCTCTTCCATGTATCGGAGATATCACAGTGCTAATGACAGGGCTGACATATGTAACCTTGTACGAGCAAGCTTCTTGCAGTGTTTTAGCTTCCAAATATGTTTGGAAATTACTGATTGCCCCAGATGTGTGAGCCGTCAGCATGGTTGAACCATGATATTGTTGTCTTCCAAATTATAGTAAAGAAATAATTGTTAGGGGCATAAATAACACCACATTTTACAACAACAAAATCAAGGTTTTAAAATACAATTTTGATGTTGTTGAGGCTCGCTCATCTAATGGCAAGGTGGTTCCAAAAGCCTTACGCTGTGTTTGGAGCATGGATTTGGGTAGAGATTTGGACAGGAAAAGAGAAAATGTAGGTGAAATGTGAATTAAATTTCACCTTTTTTATTTTTTCACACACATTTTCCCTTTCCCCTTCCAAATCCCTATCCAAATCCATGCTCCAAACAGTCTTAAGGTATCAGAAATCAGAGGTAAAAGTTTCATAATTTTCATGTTTCTTTGGTCAGGATAGCAAGAGGTGCACATTTATTCCTCCTATACTCAAAACACAAATCAGACAATGTACACCTTACGTCCTCCCATGTCTGTTGAGTTAGTTTGAATTTTTAACTATCCTTTTGCAATTACTCACTATTTTACTTTTCCCCAAAACAACTTTTCCTGTTCATGTACTTGTATATATAATCCATTAGCCCACATGTATTCAATTATTGAAAAATGTTAACCATATTTCTTTAATTGATAATACAAGATTACCACTGTTCTCTTGAATTTGTGAAGAAAAAATAAAAGAAAGAAAGAAAGAAAAAATATAGGAAAATAAAATTAAGTAAAAGCTAAAATTTTCTTCTTCTTTTTTGGTTGGGTTAACAAAATAAATATGTATTATATATATATTTTGTAAAAAAAAAAAAACCTAATTTTTTTGTTTAGTTGCCTGTAAAAAAACATAGAGTATGCACAATTAATTCTATTTTGCTTAACAAATCCAAGATTCAAACAAAGCCCTGATGTGCCTACATAATATGTAATTTTATGGATCCTCAAAATGCCTAATTAATACCTAAATTTAAGTCAGAATTAATATTTCTCTGTAATTTCAGCTAAACAACTCCACTAACAGTCCTTTTTTGGGGGGTTTGAGTGCATGATTTAGACTATATTAAAAAAAATGTGTTCTTTCATCATATTGTTGTGATTATCTTAACTTACCAAAACACGGCACCGATTACAAATAGTAAGCCTGATATTGCTATTTCCATTACAAATCAGAAATATCATCATCTAAGCTTGTACAAGTTTTTAATTCAGCGAATCTGAAGTATAAAATCATAGCAATCAATAAAATCAGAAACAAAAGTTCTGATATCAAAATGGGTACGACATATCAAAAAGTACTCACCTCCACTAGGGTTTAGCAGAATTCATCGGAGATTATGATCAAAACAAAACTCGATCAGGTATGAGCCAGTTGAGAGACTCAAAAAAACCAACAATTGAGGTGTGTGTGTGTGAATATTAGGGAGAGAATCTATAGGGATTTACAGGGGGCCACGAGTTTTATGAATGGCTATGGAGTTTCTTGGAAAGAATCGGAATTCCCAAAATGTTTGAAAATTTTCTAGTTGGTATCGACGTTTTTGGAGTTTTCACACTCGCAGGCTGAGTCCCACTCGAACCGGTGTCGGTTCGGTAGATACGTTTCAGAGGGGAATCAATTTTTGCTACCATATATATTCACCCAAAAAATTTTAAGGAGGCTATTACCACTTATTTAATTTTGGAAAATTTGGCTATAAATTCTTTTTAGCTTCCTTTCATGGTTAAAAAGACTAAAAAAAAAATTATACTTTTTAAAATTTTTTCATAATTATAAAATCTTATATAAAGGATAAAATTTATTATTTAAATATTTTATTAAACCATTATATCCTCAACTAAATCACCTTACCTTGGGCCCGTTTGGTGTAGCTGTTAAAACAGCTTATAGATTATAGCTTAACAGATTATAGATTATGACTTTAATCAAAAGTTGTTAATCTGTTTGGTGTAACTGTTGGATTATAGATTTAAGTTGCTGAGTAGTGTTTGTTAAATAAGCTGTGAAATAGTTTTTTCAATTAATTTTTATTTTTTGTTTGTCTACATTTCTCCTCGCAGGCTGAGTCCCACTCGAACCGGTGTCGGTTCGGTAGATACGTTTCAGAGGCGAATCAATTTTTGCTACCATATATATTCACCCAAAAAATTTTAAGGCGGCTATTACCGCTTATTTAATTTTGGAAAATTTGGCTATAAATTATTTTTAGCTTCCTTTCATGGTTAAAAAGGTTAAGAAAAAAATTAGCCTGCGTTTGATTGTGTTCTGTAAATGTGATTTGAGAATATGAGTTTTATTTTGAGTTTATAGGTTGTAAAATTATGATTTGAGTGTAGAAAATTTATTTGGTTATGATTTTTAAATAGAGTTTTGAATTGTGTTTTGAAGATGTATTTTGAATTAAGTTTTAGAAGTTTGATATGACATGTGAAAGGTGAAAATTTATTTGGTGATGTGTTTTGAAAGTAATTTTCAAAACTTAATTCATCCAATAATTTATCATCAAACACACAACTCATATATCGATATCCATATCCAAATTTTTTATCAACAAATATAACCAAACTATTTTTAAAATACTGAAATTAAAAATTGATTTTTTTTGTCAATTATTTTTTTTTAGTAATTTTTTTGAATAATTGTTATTTCGAAATAATTTTTTCATTTTAAAATAAATTGATGTCAATTTTTTTCTGCCAATTAATTTTTCTATCAATTCATTTATAAAATACGTTTTTAATTTTTTTCTAACATTTTGTTAAAATCAACAACTTTTGAAAATACATATTAATAAAGAAGGAATAAATATACTAACTTTAATATTTTAAAATACAAATCATAATATAAATCTTACAAAACATTATCAATTTATTTTCCATTTATTACATTTTTTGCAATTTAGTACAGATGTGTAACAGAAATCCAATCTATTATTGTACCTGTTGAGCTCATATAATTGTGGGAATTGACATACCAAATGACCATTATGCCCCTCTTGACTTAAATGACAAGTGATTATATAAAACAAAATACAAAGGGTAAGATTGTAATTTCACTTACTTAGTACCTACTCCCTATTATATAATAGCTGTGTTCAACAGTGAGGTAAAGAAAAAGCAGAGGATGCAGCTCAGTACACACATATGATACCTTTCAAAAAGTAATAATATTATATTTAACAAATAAAAAGTAAAAAAAAAAAAAAAATTATAAGAACCTTCTGAACCTCACCATTTCTATTAAATCCTGTTTACCGCACCAACTTCACCATCTCGGAAACACCTTCTCCAGTTACATCACAGAACAAAAATTAGACAAATAGAAGACATCCACCATCTTATTAGGTCCTCCTTCTCCATTTCCATAATTTACAGGTTAGTTTTGATGCTAGTTCATCTTCATATTTGCTTCAGACATTAGCTTCAAACACATTAGCTTCAGAGAGGGAGTGAGGGAGGGGAAGGGGAGGACGACCGGCCGGTCATCCCGTGGGACATCACCCGGTCATCCCGGCCCAGTCACCATTCTGTTCCATTTTCATAAATCTGTTCCATTTTCATCTGTTATATTTTCTGACATCTGTTATAATTTTTTCACACTATCATTTATTTTTCTGATTATCAGTTTTTAAGTTCTAATAAACTGTATGAATCAAACCCCAATGACAAATATCATTCCCTATGATTTTTTTTTTTTATACAAATTTGTTTGTTTGGCATCTGCCTAATTAAATTTTCTCACCAAGTTTTTTTATATTTGTTTTTTACATAAAAATAAGTTTGTATGCACAAAAAGATACTAATGTTTGATATATTTTTCATACATTTTTCTTACCTCTCATATGTTTTAATATACATTTTTCTTTCACTTTTACAGTCATCATGCCAAGAACAATCATGCCAAGAACAAAACGAACCAAACCTGAACTTGGTGAATCGTCAAACCCTGTACCACCACCACAACAACAAGATGATGGCTATCCAACTAATGATTTTGCAACATATCATCATGAACAAGCCTATCAACATTTCATTTCTCGACCAATTGTTACAGGGAGAAACGTAAAACTACCTTCTCAATATGATTCACTCTTACTTGGCAAATTAGATACAATGGGATGGTTACCATTAAATAATTTACCAAATAAGATACATCCCCGTCTTCTACGATTATTTTATGTTCACTTGACAGCAGGTGACCAACAAAATGAACCGTGGAGTCTTACTTCTTATGTTAAGGGAAAAATAATCACACTCTCTCTCCGTCGTTCTGCACAAATTATTGGAGTCGAAACAGGAGATTTACAATGTTATTTTCAAAATGAGTCTGCCTTACAAAAAATTGTTGATGATGTCACTCAGATTTATACCACAATTTGTGACAACCGATTTAGCAGCACTAATTTAAAAGTCAGCCATTTAAAACCTCACCTTCGTATTCTCCATCGATGGATAGTTGAAAATGTCACCCCCAAAAAAGGACATTATAATACTGCTTCATGTTTTCAAGTTTACTTGTTATATTGTTTTGAAATTGGACAAAAATTAGATTTATGCTTTATATTACTAAAAGAAATGATGGTTGCAAAATTGGATACTTTGAGTGGCCGGTCCCTACCTTTTGGAGCTTTGTTAACCACAATTTTCAATGCCCATGATGTGAACCTCGAAGGTGAAGTATGGATCAGAATCACTTCACCAATTCTGAGTATACATTGACCCGAGCTGGTGGTTCTGATACGTTGATGGGCTCTCTTAATCTTCAAAATGAACCAATAGATGATGAGGAAGAACCCAATGACAATGCCATGCCACCAAATGAACAACCTCGTTACTGGACTGATTATTTAGCCTTGAAACAAGAAGGGTACAATCAGCGCCTACAATGGGAACAACAAATGGCTAATCAGCTCAATACACTGGGTACTCGGTTTGATCAATTTGGTACTCGATTCAATGAAATTGCCACCGCTCAGAACTCACTAATTCATCAATTTGGTGAGTTCCATGTAGGCTCCGAGAGACGTGCTGAACTGACAAGGAACTGCATTGATCTGATTGACCATCGAGTCACTCAGCTGTACCATCAGCATTTCCCTCCACCTCCAACACCACCTGACAAGGATGCTTAACTTGTTTAAAAATCATACGGTGGTTATATTTTTTTCTGGTAATTTTTGTTTTACTTATTTATTTGGTGAGTTTTGTTGTGATTGTTTTACTTTTGTTATTTTGTTATAAGCTTTTCTATTCACGTAATGAATAAGAACGAGGGGTTTTTTTTGGAAGCATTTAATTACACAGTTATAATGTTAATAAATAGTATGTCATACATGTCTACGAAAACCTTCATTTCAATAAAAAAATAAAAATTACACAATTATTAAATAATTTGTGTGCATTAATTAATAGAAAAAATGAAATTAATGTTCTGAAATGAAATACAACAAGTTACAATTTAATAATAAACATGTGTACCCAAAAAAAAAATGACATTTAATAATCACCAAAAAAAATTTTAATGAAAAGGAAAAAAAAAATTCATATAACCTTCTGTACAAAAAAGTGAATATAACCTTTTGCTATAAAATCGGGTGATACAAAAAAGTAAAATATAATAATTATTTTATGTTATTTTATTTATTATTATTATTATTCTTATTATTATTCGTTATTTGTTACACTTTTAAATGGTGAACTTATCACCACCACCACCTACCACCACCAACCACCCACCTGCCAGCACCACCCATCACCATCCATCACCCACCTACCACCATCACCCACCATCCACCACCCACCACCTATCACCACCCACCACCCACCTGCCACCACCACTCACTACCACCCATCACCACCTACCACCCACTTGCCACCACCACCCACCACCTACCACCACCACCGCCACAACCACCCACTCGCTACCACCCACCACCACAACCACCTACTCGCTACCACCCACCACCCGTCACCATCATCCATCTACCCACCATCACCACTCGCTACCACCCACCACCACCCACCATCCGCCACCTACTCGCTACCACCCACTACCCGCCACTGTCAGCCACCCACCCGCCACCACCCACCGTCACCACTTTCCACCACCATCTTCCACTGCCACTTGCCACCACTTGTCATTTCTCACTTTTTTTTATATTTTTAAAATTTTTTAAACATTTTGTCAATTACCAAACGCGTTTGAAGTTTATGTTTTTCTAAAAATAAACAAAAATCAATTTATAACCACCCACCTGCCACCACCACCCATCACCACCCACCACCCACCTGCTACCACTACCCATCACCATCCACCACCCATCTGCCACCACCACCTACTACCAACCACCCACCACCATCCACCACCCACCACCACATTTAATTTAATGACAACATATTTATTTCTAAAAGTTACTAAGAAACACATAGCATATTAATGACAACATATTTAATTGTTTTTGGTAGACTACACATAAATTTGCATATTACACATTGCATGAACAACATATTTAAGTACACATGTACTAAGAAAACCATTATCTTCAGTGCCCATAGTGAACATGATTTTGCCACATAGCAGTAGTAATTGCATCCCTAACGTTCGATTGGGACGTTAACCCATGTTGTGACATGTCAACGTAGTCAGCTTGGTCTCCAACAAGCCCGTCTACTTTTGCTTCTGCAGCCATTTCATTATCAGCTTCCATAAAGAATGGATCCATAGCTGCATGCAAACGGATCCAATTGTGCACTACACAACATGCAATCACGAGAGGCCCTTGTCGTGTAGACTTGTAATTTGGCATGGACCGTAATATTGGGAAGCGCTTCTTCAAAACACCAAATGTTCTTTCTATGACATTGTGTAATGACCAATGTCGATGGTTAAACAATTTCTTAGGTCCTGCATAACGATGGCCACGAAACTCTTGCAAGTGATACCGTTGAGACCGAAATGGGGCAAGAAATCCAGGTATGTTCGTGAAACTAGCATCAACTAAATAGTACTTGCCTACATGTAAATAATGAATACACAATTCTATCAATTGATATGTATAAAAACGGACAAGGAAAAACGTGTACCGTATGTTATTCAGGGACAATCACCATTGGGTGGGTGTGGGAACTGTAGATCAGCTCGTGTAATAGAGTCAACTAGAATAGCGTTGTCGTGAGCGCTACCTTCCCATCCAGAATTAATAAATGTGAACAACATATCGAAGTCGCAAGCTGCGAGTACATTTTGCGATACCGTTGCTTTCCGACAGTGGAATGTATTTTGTCTTGAAGCAGGGACCCATGCATCCACCAATGTGCCATCGATAGCACCGACACAATCCTAATTGACAGGTATCAGACTTTGATATTAAAGGCGAAACAAACTGATTGATTTTACTTTCATAATTAAAAAATAATAATATTTATTAACCCTTATTGATATGAACAAATTTACAGGACAGTTACACTGTTCGTACCTTGAACCAGGGAAAAAACCGCCTGTCATTTAAAATTTTTCCCGGTATGTCCTCTAGGTTACGTGGTTTGATAACCGATGATGAAAGCTTGCACAATGCCCTCATAACAATTTTTATGTACCGACAAATTGTTTCCGTGGAGTGTTGAAATCTATCTGCCATTATTCAATGGCGATCATTTTGTGTAAAAGTGTATAAAAAAATTCCAAGCGATTCCTCCACACTTATATGCATATGTTCAGTATCGATAAAGCCATTATGGAGTAAAGTGTCTTTCAATAAAATGAATGTTTGTGCATCCATTCGCATAACGTTCATCATTGTTTCTGGATGGCCATTTAATAGGCCGAAGATGTAATCATCACCTCTGAATGGACACGTTCGCTGCGATCGGCGACTACTTGACGCGTTGATATGGTCATGCATTAAAGCAATCATCAAGAAATCCATAAAATCATCAACAACGTCATCCTCCTCAGATGAGAACTCCATTGTATTGTTTTCTCTATCGGATGACATTTGCCTTTGTCTACATCACAGTAAAAGCATAATTATAAAATATGTTATTCATGCAGTAACAGTTAGCGTTATTGGTGAAACAGTAAAATTCAGAGGATAACAAAATTTATTTAACACATGGTCATATTATAATAGCTTCCATAGTTTTAATATAACAGAAAACACTTAAAAGTTCAAAAAAAAAAAAAAAACATACGAACATAGAAAAGGAAAGAGGATATGATGGAATGAAAAAAATAAGAATAAAAACCAAATCAGGAATAATGAAATGATCAAACAGTTCAGCCAAGAAGATTTGCTAACATAAGTAAAACAGAACGTCTCAGTTCACTGCAAAACGAGGATCATGGCTAGGCGCAAATGGGTAGGAGTGCGCATAAAAAACCTTCGCCATTCCTTATCCTTGAATAGTGTCAGTGCCCTAATGTACTGCAACGGTGGTATGTTCCCAAGCTCAAGTAATGCATCTTGACATGCATCAAGGGAATAATCATCACCACCTGCACTTACAGCCTCAGTCTCATTTTCTCGTGCACGTGAATGTCCTGTTTTGGCTTGTACATAAGATGTGAAAGGCGCACACATCATCAAACCCACTTGACCGTGACTTTTTGGAACGACCACTGTCAGTCTAGCTGGTTGCAGGGCCCCTCTTGTGACTTTTGCCCTTTGTTGGATCCATATACTCATCCCCGAATAAGTCAACAGGAATGGCCTCAGCAGCATTACTCCCACCAGCATCAGCGTTCTAAAATTTATTTAACATGTTGTCTTCTTCTTCTGAGTCAAGGGGTCCTTGTGTGGATGCACGAGACAGGGCCCCTGTAGCACAACAATTTTCAACAATTTCTGCCATTTCTTGAAAATATTCAAACCCTTGCCACCTGGGCCTTTATGAGCCTCAGTACGAAGGGCTGAGTAAAAAGGTCATAAAGTTACTCGGTCTTGATGAGGCTTAAAGTTAGCCCGGCCTCAAGCCCAGAAGGTAGACCGGTCCGAGGGACTCTTGATGTTAGTCCGGTCGAAGGACGCTTTGTAGTTAGACCGGTTTAAGGATGCTTTGAACTTATACCGGTCATGGCGCAGTGAAACAAGATTGGTCTAAACCTTGATAAAAGATAGTTCGGTTTTGGGCATACATGGTTTGTAGAAAACTATGGACAGAAAACCGAACTAGGTATGGTTTGGCTAAGCATAGTCGTGATTACTTCGGTCGTATGGTAGGTCGGCCATGGAAGAACCATCTCACTTGGTTTAAGCAGTGAGGGGGGGTTGAGGGATAAGCATTATCCTTCAGGAGTATAAATCCTAGGAGGACTCTGCATGGAGGAGTAAAAGTCCTACTAGGATTGTGCCACGCAAAACTTATAAAAGCTCACAAATATCACCTATGGAGAGGTAACACACAACTCTGATTCTCGAATTCACAGAGCTTCTTGTCTATTTGTCTGTTTTTTTGACTTAGGCATCGGAGGGGTTTCCGGCACACACCCGCCGGCTAGCTCACGTTTGTATTTTCAGGGAGTAAAGCGACGTCGTACGGAGGAGCGTAGACTTGATCAACAGGATTATACGGGAAGGTTTATTTCTTTCCCGTACAATTGGCGCCGTCTGTGGAAAAAACAGACAGGACAAAACCTCTTGATCAAGCTTTACCTCTTTAGGAACAATGGCGCACAATGAAGATTTACCGCAGTCCGCCATCGACGGGAAAACACCAGATGGGGGTACAAGGCGTGAAGGACTACCTTCTATCCCTTCCATGGCAGACTTGGAGCCCCAACGGCATAACCCCAGGAGGGATACTAGGGGGAGGCGGAATAACAGCCCCCGTCACTCTCGTTCCCAAAGTCCTGACAGACAAAGGCGGAGGATTGATCCTCAAGCTCTGGAGGACCGCGTGAAGGAACAAGACGAATTGATACGACAGATGGCGGCGGACATGGAGGTTATGAAGCGGCAGATGAAGGCAAAGGAAGTGGCGACAGGAGAGGGGCGCAAAAACAAGACGCCCCCTCGCCGCTCAGAAGACCGTGGAAGGCATTCCACACCATCACAAGCAGAAAGTAAAAGTCTCAAGATAGGCGATACTCAGTCTAGAACCTTCAGAACTCGTTACTCCAGGTCTGAGAGAACGAGATCATTGAGGTCTTACACAGAGGGAAGTACCTACCGACCCTCACACTCGCACCAAACATCATCCAAGCGGATGGAGTTGCCAAGATCATCCGATTTGCGGACCATGCTGGAAGAAAAGGCATGATGGAAGGAGGACACTAGGGCACACGACCCTTGCAGAGTTTCTGCCCTTCAACGGTTGGCTCCTCGGACGCATGGAAGCGTCGAGGTTGGAATGCCATTACCACACCCTGCCTACGAACCAACGGACAAAGCATTAGCAAGGCTGCAGACCTCGCCGTTTGTTTCGGCGATCGAAAATGCGCCCCTGCCTTCAGGCTTCCTTCAGCCCAAATTCACCACGTACGAGGGGAAGACGGACCCCTACATTCACCTAAGCCACTTCTACCAGGTTATGGCGGTATATCGGTGAAACGAGGCTTTAATGTGTATCCTCTTCCCATCAAGCCTTGGTGATCCAGGCTTGACTTGGTTCGAAAAACTTCCAGAAGGCAGCATAGCCTCCTGGGCGCAATTGGCGGAGGCATTTGTCACAAGGTTCAGAACAAACACCAAAACCCCGGTGGAGATTAACCAGCTACTCTCCATCGACATGGGCAAAAAAGAGACATTAAGGTCCTACAATAGTCGCTACTGGGAGACATTCAACCAGATTGGGGACTGCCCCACCAATCTCGCCATTGCACAGTACAAAAGAGGCCTTCCAGTCGGGAATAGACTAAGGGAATCGATCACCATGACACCACCCCTCACCATGGAAGCCTTGATGAAAAGAGTGCATCAGCACATCAGGGTGGAAGAGGATAGTGCCCGCGCCAAAACAAAATCTGGCACCACTGCAGTGCCAGAGAAAAAAGCCTTGACAAAGGTCAACGCGGTAGATCGTCCAAGTAGAAACGGGCGAGGCAGGCGAGACAACGGAGAGGACCAGGATAAAAGATGGTTAAGAGTCTGCACTGCCATAACCACGGTTTTCAAGAAACCAATCTATCGGATTCTAAGCGAAATACGCGATGAGCCTTTCGTCAGATGGCCCGCTAAGCCAGGAGAAGCACAGAAAGACTATGACAAAAGATCGCGATGCACCTTCCACAAAGAAAAGGGGCACCGCATTGAAAATTGTACACCATTGAAACAGCATTTGGAGGAGTTGGTGGCAGCCGGTCACCTGGATAAATACATTGAAGGAGGGACGCAGCCAGCCCCCCCAGAATGACAACCATCCGAACGGAATGCCAATTGACGCACCACCTCAAGGCGTAATCAATGTGATACATAGAGTATTCAAACCTGAGCGTGTATGCGAGCTCAGAGGGTCGATCAGGAAGGCTGAGCACTTAAGAGAAGTATTAAGCGCTCAATCTACCATCAAAAAGGGGAGAACAGACCCTACGAATGTCATCTCCTTTTCAGACCGAGACTTGGAAAGAATATATTGCCCTCACAATGATGCGCTGGTCGTGACTCTCTGCATCAGGGATTACGACGTCAAGCGGATTTTGATAGACCAAGGCAGTTCATGTGAAATAATGTACTATGACACCTTTAAACAGTTGAAGTTATAAGATAAAGACTTGGCACCTGCCGTATCTCCTCTGATTGGATTCAACTCCATGCCAGAATGGCCTGTTGGCAAAATAATCCTCCTAGTCAAGGCAGGAAGCGTGACGAAACAAGTGGAGTTCTGGGTATTAAAGGTCCCCTCCACTTATAACATCATCTTGGGCAGAACATGGCTGCATACCATGCGATCGGTGGCATCATCCTACCACCAAGTAATGCGGTTCCCCAATGACACCGGTGTAATTGAAGAGGTCTATGGAGATCAGATTATGTCCAAGCAATGCTTTGTCACGGTAAATGGCAGCCGCGCTGCTAAAGGATATGTTCATTCGGTGGAAGAACCTGAGAGCATGAACTGTTTGCAGATGTAGGCAAAGCAGCTAATCAGAAAGCGGTGGAAGACTTGGTAGAGGTAAGAATAGATGAAAAGAACCCGGATAAGTTCTTTTTGCTCGGTTCATCATTGTCCAACACTGAGAGATTAGAGGTCTTGGAATTTTTTACCTCTAATATCGAAGTGTTTGCCTAGACACCATACGACATGCCAGACATTGATCCCAACTTCATCTATCACCAACTCAATGTCCACCCATCCGCCAGACCAATCATTCAACGCACCCATAGATCGGCACTCCACCATGCCGAGATAGTGGCAGAAGAAGTAGGAAATCTGTTGGAGGCAGGAGCAATCAGAAAAATGCACTATCCAAGATGGATCTCCAACACAGTCATGGTGCCAAAGAAGAATGGCAAGTGGCGTATCTGTGTCGACTACAAAACAGTCAACAAGGCATGTCCGAAAGACAGCTTTCCTCTACCACGAATAGATCAACTGGTCGACCTAACGGCGGGGCACAACCGACTTAGCTTTCTGGATGCATACAGAGGCTATCATCAAATCGCCATGCACGAACCAGACCAGGAAGTCATATCCTTTACAACTCCAAGAGGACTATACTGTTACAAGGTCATGCCCTTTGGCCTAAAGAACGCAGGGGCAACATTCCAACGGATGGTCACCAAAATGTTTGAACCATTGTTAGGCAGAACAATGGAGGCTTACATCGACGACATGGTGGTCAAGAGCAAGGATGAGAATGACCATCTCAAGGACCTAGGTGAGATGTTTGAGATCTTGAAAAAGCACAAGTTGCGCCTTAATGCGTCCAAGTGTGCATTCAGAGTAGGATCTGGCAAATTCCTGGGCTTCCTTGTGACCAACCAGGGTATAGAAGCAGACCCCTCTCAGATCAAAAGAATCCAGGATTTGGAAAGACCAAACTCAGTAAAAGAAGTACAGCATCTCACCGGCATGGCAGCTGCGCTCAATCGGTTCATAAGCCGGTCATCGAACAGACTACGACCATTCTTCCATGCCCTAAAAGCCAAGTTTGAGTGGGACGAAGAATGCGACCGCGCTCTGGAAAGCTTAAAGGAATATATGTCTTCTCCACCACTGCTGGTGACCCCAATTCCTAGAGAAGAACTCTTCCTGTACCTGGTAGTCTCTCAGCACGCAATTAGCGTAGTGTTGGTCCGTGCGGAAGGAATCCAACATCTGCCCATCTATTATGTCAGCAAGACATTGCTGGGTGCCGAAACAAGGTACTTGCCACTAGAAAAATTGGCATTGGCCTTGATGATGGCCTCAAGAAAGTTGTCACACTACTTTCACGCCCACACTATAGTCGTCTTCACAGCTTTCCCATTAAAAGCTTTGTTTGAGAGGGAAAACTTTTCTAGGCGAATCTTAAAGTGGGCAGTAGAGTTGGGACAATTCGACATCAAGTTCTAACCCAGAACCGCGATAAAAGCCCAAGCTTTGGCAGACTTTGTCGCAGAATTCACCCCAGGAAGTCATCATATATGCCCAGTCGACCTGACTGATACAACTAAACCAGGGATAGAAGTTGACGCCGGAATAGCGCAACCCCTGGTACAGGATACTCAATCAGATCCCATGGCAAACCAGACTAAAGACAGCAAGGAAGAAGCAAACCAAACTACACCGAACCAAGACTCACCAACAAATAAAGACT